TTTGTACTGGTTAAAATTGTTGGCTTTTTCTGTCGTGATTTTTTTTTTTCATCACTGGGATCTGGCAAACCTGGTCTAGTCCGACAAACGGTCCTATAATAACTTGTGCAGTATGCCACGTATGCATTGTAAGAAATCCGTTTCGTTGTATCCCAGAAGTGATTTTAGTAGTAGTGTGATTGTTGTTGCGAGAGACGGCTGATTCATATTCCATCATATACAGTAACAGCTAATGCATGACGATTCATATTTGAACTAATCACAATGCACCACAGATATTTCAATCGACCAATTCGAGATCAACACACGACATGTGCTGGAATATGAGCTACAACCGCGGAGAACGCACTCGTTCTAAATTGTTTTACAGGCTTTGGTAACGGCCACTAGTTACCACTTTTTTGGAAGAAATTTGGGAGTTTTAGCTATAGGAACTTAGGATTGATTTGTAACAACAGAACTAAGCATAAACAACAGTACCAGTGGGATAGTTATAAGAACCGGTACTGAAATGAGAATTAACGTTAATTCTGGGGTCTGGTATAGTTTATTACCACATATACTTCTAGTGGTTGGGGCTGAAAATTTATTTCTATGTCACTCCTTACCCCCACCTGACTACGTCATCCAAAAATCACGTCACGGCTACGCCACAATCACGAAATGTAGCTTGCCAAAGTAGAATGACGTCGCTCGTAATGGCGCCTGCGACTACGTTAATAAACTCCCTAATGCCAGCGACCTCTCTCGTTTCAGGGTCGCTCCGTAGAGCTCAAAATGAATATGGAAGTAGACGAACAAAATTAGTTACCTCCATATTGGTACACACACTTCTAGAGCTCCCTTTAGTTCTACTATACGAATAGCTCAGGTACTGCGGAGCCAGGCGACGCAATGATATTGCGATCACAGGTCAAAATACTTAAGGCGATATGATATGGCCAAATAAGACAAATGGGGGAGCGATTGCGATAAGCCATGTTGGTTAATTGTCTGTGGTCGTTGTTGTACGCTTCTGTCTGATGCGGCAATATTATCAATCCACGACTTAATAACGCAAATTGATAAAACAGCTAAAATTAGCACCGTATGGTGGGCTGGGATATATTGGCGTTTGATACATAATGTGAAACGAATCAAGATCAGGAGAATATGCAAGAAATATCGACGGCAATAATTGATTTCTGTCAAATCCCATAAGAAATGCATTGCGCGCCTCGTAGAAGTCGGAAGTCTATCGCCAAAACAAGAGAGGCTCCAAATTACCCGGCGGAAATGAGAGAGAAGCGCACTCCATTTATATATCTCTGTGATCGCTCCGCAGATATCAAAAAAAATATGTAACTCAAGAGAGACGTCAATTTCCACCAACGAACGTTCAAAATGCCTTATCTGAGCCACTACGTGATTTTGTGGGTGGATATATTAATTTACGTTCCCGCAATGGATGTAGTGGGTACAAAACAATATGTAAAGCCCTACTATTTTATTTTTTATACGTCAACTCCAACAAAAGCTTTATACAAGCAGAAACTGAGATATTAATTGACGTTTACGTAGTGGGTGTAGTTGGGTACCTTGCACCTGAAAACTTGCTATTTTATGTCTGGGGTATACATGTGTTGTGCCACCATTTAATAATAAATATGCTTTATACATTTTCACTTTAAGCAAGGCTTTAGTCAAGCATGAATGGACATATTAGTTTACATTCACATGTGTGTAGTTTCGCACCACAGAAACCTCTAGTGCAGTGGTTCTCAACCTTTTATGACTCGTGGCCCCCTTCCGGAGGCTTTTAGCACTCATGGCCCCCACTTTAATATTCCAGAGGTATTAATAGGGTTATTTTCATTGATAGATTCCAAATCCCATTATGTTGAAACAATTTGCACAAAAGAGAGCGAAAACACCCTGCGAAATAACCTTGTTGACCAGCAAACTAGGAAAAACTGTGAGATTTCTTTTAAAGTGAAAAGTAAATTCAGATTTCAGCCTAACCTTGTGGCCCCTCTCCAACTCCACTGTGGCCCCGCTGCTCTAGTGGATGTTGCGTAACAATTTTTGCCTATATCATTCCTGACTCCCACTTGACAACGTCATTCAAAAATTACGTCACTAAACGTCACAATCGCTTAATAGAGCTGATAATGCATATGCGGGATACATCAATTCTTATAGGGCAGAGGTGACCAACACGTCGATCGCGATCGACCGGTCAATCGCCACGTCTCGAGCAGTCGGTCGATGGCGTCTGATGGTGAGTGAATTTTATTGAAATACCCTCAAAAATTGCGAAAGTTTTGCAACTGGAAGAATACAGTACTTTACATGCGCAAAATACACATACAGTATTTAAGTCTGGGCAAGCCCCGATAATGCATACTATCACGTAATAAATGCAAGTTTTTCCGCTGTCAAGGTTGAAAATGAAGTGCCGAATATCGTGGCCGGCGGTGTGGCTCATCGTGCTAAGCGTTAGAAATACGCTCGCCACCGCACCTCTGATGACTCTGCCCAAGGGATAAATATGAAAATTCTATCTTATCGCGTGTCTAGACTAATGTTGCCATATTGGCTTTTTTAACGTCAAATTTCACGATTTTGGCTTTTTTGAAACACGTTTGGCGTGAGAATTTCCGTTTGGCTTTTTTTGATCTCCATTTTACTGTCTGTTTATTATTAAAATCATTTAAAATACAATACCGGTATACATTGTGCAACAATAACAAGCTCAGCTACTCAACATTTAGATTTTCCCTTAACCACAACCAATCAAAAATAAGCCAACAATGACATAACATGTGCTATCGATTAGGTTGAACTATGTATGCCTGAGAAAGTCTGACCTTGGTCAGACGAAACGTTACAGAAATATATTTGTGTATTGAATCATTTAGATTTTGAATGACATAACAATTACAGTTTTTGCAGTCGCTCAGACAGATGTTCAAGCAGGCTTCGTTTTTATAGTTTTGCGCGTTACTGTGTTTATTTGTCAGTTTTTATTTATGTTTTCAAGAAAATGGTTGTATGTCTTAATTCAGTAAATGTCATTTCGCCTTCCGAGGAGATTTAGTTTGGTTGCGGTAATCAAAATTCCCGCAAACGACATGATTATCTAGGCTAAAATCATCTATCAGTAGACTATCTGTGCAAGCGGCACTTGATGCCTTCAAACATGTGAACCAGTTTATAATCGCCAACACTTCAGAACAATCATAAGACAATTTTCAATAGTAAAATATCGGGAGAATTTTCTGAGGTATATATCTCGCAAGTTTTACTAGAAACATGTACATTTATCCATCCTAAAGCTGTATACGTGGAGTATTGTATATATCTGTATTGAAAAAATAGTGCTGTCCGCTTAATATTATTCTTTTTCGACTTTTTGATGTTTTTAAATTTTTTATGCAGATGTCAGCTTGACTGTATCATGTCGGATATACATTCTAATTCTGCCATTTAATAATCCTTCTCAGTTGTAAATCCTTGATCGTGCCGAAGTGAAAATCGTCATGATAGCAACCAAAACTACAAATTTTAGTAGGATTTAGCATTGATGTGCTGGCTCACTAAATCAACTGATGCCTCTAAATTAGCATATTTGCAAACTGTGCAAATCCACAATTGTGCTAGGAGTTTCAAATTTGTCAAATCATAAGGTTTTTGTACTTGTTAAAATTGTTGGCTTTTTTCTGTCGTGATTTGGCTTTTTTTCATCACTGGAATCTGGCAACTCTGGTCTAGACTGACAAACGGTCCTATATTAACTTCCGCAGTATGCGAAAGTTACTACGAGAGGAGTGTGATAAATTTTATTCGCAATGGTAGCAGTGGCATCAAAATGCTCAATTTGTTTTAGTTCTAAGCATAGCGAGGAATTGCATTTGGAGGAAATTGTAAATTAGATACTGAAGTTTGAGCAGTCATGTAACATTCATGGTTTGAGAATATTTATTTTACGCTGTTTAGATAATTCTTGGCAAGGTTTCTTGAATAATTTTCAACACTTACGAATAAAAATTAGGCACGTCCTTCATCTGAGTTGTATGAATTAAATAAAGCTTAACTAAATATCGAAACATTTACTCCGGGTACAATAAAATATTCAATAACTTTAGGGTAACATAAAAAATACAAATTTTGTGTCGATTTTGCGAATTTTTTGTATGCGTGTGTGCAGTTATCATTGGCATAATATATTTAATATTAACATATTTGTTATCATTCCTATGCCTTTCTAAATTAAGTCTGTGTTTCAACCCCCTTTTAATTTTTTCTTTCACCCTTGTTACATCTGGATTAAGTTAATACACTATTTATACAGTTAATACAATCTCTCGACCCGGAACAGAAAAAACAAAAATACTCTGGGTATCACATTGCGATGTCGCTATATCAGTAAACTATGCTTATATACTATGAATCTGGTCCCATGCGTAAGGAATGTTCCCTTTGATAAATAGTTTTTTTTAATTTTCACGAAAATGGATTCCCAAACATTCAACTAAAATCTTAAACAATATCCAATAAACTCAAAGTTTTACACAAATGCCTCATCTGAGCAACTGTGTGATTTTGTGCATGGATATATCAATTTACGTTCACGCAATGGATGTAGTTGGGTACAACACATATAAATCCCTATTATTTTATATGCTAACTCTAACAAAAGCTTTAGACAAGCAGAAACGGACATATTCCATATATTGTGGCACATTTTATTAATAAATAGGTTTTACACGTTTTCACTTTAATTAAGGCTATAGACAAGCAGAAATGCACGTCTTGAACATGTATCCCGTCTTTTTTATACCGTTTAATTATTATGCATATACTGTTACATTTTTGAGGCAAATAAACATACATATATTATATACATACAAATGGGCATATTAATTTACATTGACATGGGTGTACTTGCGTATCACAATAACTTTATTAACATAGTCGCAGGACCACTAGAAGTATATGTGGTACTAAACTATACCAGACCCACACTGTTTTAAGATGAAATTGTCATTATTGTTGGTTGTGCTCTGTGTCGTTTGTACTTCTGCTGAAGAGACCAAAGAATCTGCGGCTGTGGGAACTGTCATTGGTATCGACTTGGGAACAACATATTCTTGGTGAGTATGAGAAATAAGCTTGCTGCTATAATAACTTTTAAACATTAATGTTAATTATTCAACTTTTATTTATTTCAGTGTCGGAGTTTTCAAGAATGGTCGTGTAGAAATTATTGCTAATGATCAAGGTAATCGTATCACACCATCATACGTTGCATTCACTGCGGATGGCGAAAGGCTCATTGGTGATGCTGCGAAAGATCAGCAGACGTCCAATCCTGAAAATACAGTTTTTGGTGCGAAACGTCTTATTGGTCGTTCTTGGGAATCTGTTCAGAGCGATATCAAATTCTTCCCTTTCAAAGTAGTTGAGAAAAACAAGAAGCCATATGTCAAAGTCAACACAATTGGAGTTGAAAAGGTTTGTATTGCAATGTTGTTCTCGACTATTTTGAATTTATAAATGTCAATCAAATGTTATGTCTGTGGATAATTCCTAAAATTTGTGGTAATCAAAATGTTCTTTAGAAAAAATTCCCATGTCTGGTTGGGGATACCCTATGGCAATTTCCACCTTTATCACGCTAGCAAAATCGTGCTACTCAAAAACACGGTTTCATAAAAAGTGTTTCACTAAAAAATTTATGTTCAAATATGAATTGAATCGTACTCTGGGAATGCGGTCAAACATTATAAATATAGTATACAGTCTGATGTGAATAAAATCAAATTATATGCTTTGATAATATTATGTGAGTATCGCAATAAAGTATTTGTATACCTGTCAAAAACTAAATCAATTTTCTAAATGCCAGAAATGAACGAGATCCGCCTTTAGGGGGTTAAAAAAAAAATTTTAACCATGAACTTATACCTTCAACATATTTTTCGGAATTGGAAAAAAACTAGATTGTTTTTCTGACAAAATATTTTATTACAACGCTAGATCTGGAGGCTTAAAATTAAACTTCAAGACTTCGAATTCGATCGTTAAAGTCAGGATTTCAGACATCCAATGATAAAAAAATCACCAAGCTCACTAAACTTGAAATTAAGTTTATTGCGTAGTATTAGAAGTATTTTGTTAGAAAAACAGATCAATGTTTTGCCAATTTCTTTATTTCATTGGAAATATGATTGAACCAGCCATCCATACACAGGATATTTTTGAAACCTCAAAGACCGATCTAGTTCAAATTTTAGATCAACTTTAACAATATTTCGGATTTTTGCGAAATTTACGTAATTGCGTTCTATTAAAAGTATTTTGTTAGGAAACTGATCAAAGTTTTCGACAATATTTTTAATTGGTTGGAAAGATGTTGAAATCAGCTATTCATACATAAATTATTATTTAAGCCCCAAAAACGGATCTGGTCTAGTTCAAATTTCAGGTAAATTTTAACATTTTTTTTAATTTTTGTGAAATTCAGTTTTATTGCGTTGTATTAAAAGTATTTTGTTGAGAAACTGATCAAAATTGTTGCCAATTTCTTTATTTGATTGTAAAGATGATGGAACCAGCTATCTATACACAAAATATTTTTCAAGCCCCAAAGAAGGATCTAGTTCAAATTTAGGGTCAATTTTTACGATTTTTTGTATTATCGTGAAATTTACGTTATTGCGTTGTATTAATAGTATTTTGTTAGAAAACTTGTTCAGGCTTTTGCTAATTTCTTTATCTGATTGGAAAGACGATGAAAGCAGCTATCTGCACACAAAATATTTTTTGAGCCCCAAAGACGGATCTAGTTTAAATTTTGGGTCATTTTTTACGATTTTTTATATTGTCGTGAAATTTACGTTATTGCGTTGTATTAAAAGTATTTTTTTAGGGAAACTGATGGAAGTTTTCACTAATTTTCTTTATTTGATTGGAAAGATGATGGAACCAGCTATACATACACAAAATATTTTTCAAGCTCCAAAGACGGATCTTGTTCAAATTTTGGGTCAATTTTTACGAATTTTAGTATTATCGTGAAATTTACGTAATTGCGTTGTATTAAAAGTATTTTGTTGGAAAACTGATCGAAGTTTTCGCCAAGGTCTTTAATTGATTGAAAAGGTGTTGGAACCAGCCTGTAATCATACCTGAAATTTATTTTAAGCCCCAAAGGCAGATCTTGTTCAAAATTGTCGGCCAATTTAACAATTTTTCACATTTTTGAGAAATTCACGTTGTTATGCTATATTAAAAATATTTTATTGAAATATGGATCAATTTTTTTCTCTAATTACTTTTGATCTTAAGATCGGTAGGTATGTGGATAGGTATTTGTCTGTTTGTTCGTTTGCTTGCTTGTTTGTTTGTCTGTCTGTTAAATACATGCGATATCCCACGAAAGCGAGGTTGAATCTGCTTCAAATTTTGCATGTGCATTCATAATATCTCGGATCAGGAGCCTATTGATTTTAAATGAATTATGTCGTATAATTAGCGAGTTATTAATTAATTAGTGATGGGACACAGGGTGTCACTATAGAGTAAGAGCGGATCAATCGAAACCGCAGTTTTTGTTTGAGGGATCCCCTAACCTTCGATCGATAAGTCTCCGGTCTCCGACCGATATTCTCGTTTCTTATATTAAAAAAAATAAGTTAACATACCTAATTCAATTTCACAATTTTTCGACTTTTTTTGTGAAATTTACGTTATTTTGTTCTAATAAATATATTTTGTTGAACCTCTCCTTTAGTCATAAAATGCTTGTCTGATCAGATGCTACATAACGACGTTCAATTTACAAGTTTACATTTCGTGTCAATCAATTAAAAATATTTCGCAAAGAGGAAACACTGTTTTATGGCATTGTATATTTTGATGCGGGTTTTGCTAGCATTTTGCTGATATGACAGTGGCCAATTTCTACTTGCTTACAAACTAGGTGTTATCTTATGAATTGGATATATATATTCTCCATTTCCTTTCTTCATGGCTTATCTCACTCCCTAGTATCTTATTTATCTCTAATGAAATAATTGACTTTGCTTTTCAGACATTTGCAGCTGAGGAAATCAGTGCCATGGTTTTGGGCAAAATGAAAGAAATCGCAGAGGCATACTTGGGAAACGAGGTCACTCATGCTGTTCTTACAGTACCAGTTTATTTTAATGATTCTCAAAGACAAGCAACAAAAGATGCAGGAGTTATTTCTGGTCTGACAGTCATGAGAATCATTAACGAGCCGTAAGTCCTGGTTTTGTAATTATAGAAAAGTCTCTATGATTTAGACAATTTTTTCCAATAGTGTTTTTTATGCAGAATTGCCGCTGCCATTGCATACGGTCTTGATAAAAGAGAGGGAGAGAAGAATATCCTGGTCTTTGATTTGGGTGGTGGAACTTTGGATGTATCTTTGCTGACAATCGACAATGGTGTTTTTGAAGTAGTTGCCACTAATGGAGACACTCACTTGGGTAGGTTTATGAAATTATACTTCATTGGGCATGCTAACATTACTTCCAATAAATTGATTCAACTCGATCAGTTGGCTATAGGGACCGCTCTCGTTAATGACACATAGTTTAGTGTTACTAGTTTACCAATAACTATTTTGCTCACAGGTAGTGAATATTTTGTTCAACGTGTTATGGACTACTTCTTGCAATTATACAAGAAAAAGAAGGGAAAAGATGCAAGAAAAAATAACAGAGCTGTACATAAACTCAGAAGAGAAGTGGAAAGAGCAACACGTAGTCTTTTAACCCAACAGATCGCCAGAGTTGAAATTGAAAGTTTCCACGATGGCGAAGACTTCTCGGAGACATTGACCAGAACTATATTTGAAGAATTGAATATGGTAAGATCTGGCATGTCAATTTTTTCATCATTTGGTTGCAACACTGGTTAAGATGTTTCCGATTTACATGTTTGGCGCAAATCTTGTTTTTCAAAAATGAATTCTTGTAGGAGTAATCCTTTTTGATCACCAGTTCACTGTAGGGTGTTTCACAAAAATATTTAACCTAACGTTAATTGTTTTATTTTGCCAGGATCTTTTCCGTTCCACTATGAAAGCAGTTCAAAAAGTCTTGGAAGATTCAGACTTGCAAAAGAAGGAAGTCCATGAAGTTGTATTGGTGGGGGGATCTACTCGTATTCCTAAAATCCAACAACTTGTTAAAGAATTTTTCAACGGAAAAGAACCAAACCGCGGTATCAATCCTGATGAGGTTGTCGCTTTCGGTGCTGCTGTACAAGCTGAAGTATTGGGAAGAGAAGAGGAAAACACTGGTAAGACGGTTTTTGTGGCAACAATAATTACATGGTCATTTGATTCTAAAATTTCTACATTTTAGTTGGATATTTTCGATAAAGCATTATTGTGTTATACTTTTGACTAACTACATGTCAATATATAATTTTTTGTTGTTTGTTTCATTCAGGTGATCTTGTCCTGCTTGATGTCTGCCCTCTCACTCTCGGTATTGAAACAGTTGGAGGCGTCATGACCAAGCTCATCCCTCGTAACACTGTCGTCCCTACCAAAAAATCTCAGATTTTCTCAACTGCTTCGGACAACCAACCCACTGTGACAATCAACGTTCTGGAAGGCAAGTAAATTTTTCATCATAGGAATATAATTTCAAGACTCAATCCTAACTGAATGATTAATTTCTAAGGTGAACGGCCAATGGTTAAAGACAACCATCATCTTGGAAAATTTGACTTGACTGGAATCCCGCCCGCGCCGAGAGGGGTGCCTCAAATTGAGGTAACCTTTGAGATTGATGTGAACGGTTTCTTGAGAATATCTGCTGAAGACAAGGAAACTGGTAACAAGAAAATGATTACCATTAAAAACGATGATAATAGATTTTCAAAAGAATATATTGAACGTATGATTAAAGATGCAGAGACTCATGCAAGCGATGATCAAAAGGTTGGTAAATATTGCATGTTCATGTAGCTTTATATCCCCAATTCCTAAACCTCTCAAGTTTTCTAAAAAATAATTCAGTTAGTGTGGCAATATAGGATATTAAAGTTCCGTATCAAATGTTACCAAAGTTTACGTATCAAGTGTTATAATGAGGCTAGTAATATGACTATAATGTTGTCGTCAAGATGCAGATACTGGTAGCTTTTTTACGAATTTTTAACTTTGCGTCCTTTTCTATTGGGGAAACAATAATTTTTCAGTACTTTATTGGTGATGCCTATCAGGTTGTTGAGAGTAATTGTACTTACTAATTTGTTCTCAGGCTAAAGAACAGGTAGAAGCAAAGAACGAGATTGAAAGTTATGCTTAGTCTTTGAAAAATCAAGTTGGTTCATCACAGGAAACTGGCATGACTCGCGACTGAATGAATGCAACTTTTTAATCTTCTACCAACAATGTAAAATAGCATGCCCAAAGCGTATTGGTGTGCCTGTTATGAAGGTGAAATTGGTAAAAATTACAAAGCATATTTGTGAGAATAGAAATATTTAATAGCTGTTTGAAAATGTAAGTATAACAATAAATCTGAGCAAAAATTTGAATATACACGAAGAAAGTTACACATTATTAACGACTAAATTAAAATGCTAAGCATTAAGCCACTGGTACTTCGAACTAACAAAATTTTAATAAAAATTAATATATACATATATTATTTTTTATGTATGATAGGACAAATTGAATGTTCGATGAATGACAAAATCAGAAAACAAACAATCTCTGACATTCGGAATAAATTTACTTCGGTCTCTTTGTCTAGATTGAAGCACTATAGGGATAATCTTGTTATTTTAGTAAGATTTACGTTTGTTTTTTAAATTAATAAGTTTTCGGTGGTGTAGCGCATCGCGATTAGAATTCGCCCGCTATTGCACCTCTGATTATTATGAGTGCGTTCGCAAGTTTGAATCACAATGCTGAAATCCTTGCCGCCGTAGGGTGCTAACCACTGATCGGTTACGGGTTCCTCCGCTTCCACTTGCATGCATCTGAAACAAATAAATGAACTGATAGTCGGACCAGAGGCCGTGGTTTTCCATATGCTTCGATTAAGCCGTCTTATCGACTTTTCTTCTTCCCCGAGGATGAATATGTGAATTCTATACATCCACGGGGTTTCTCGTATAGTCTACAAGGAATATTAAACTTGAAACCAAAGTACAATTTGTAGTTGTTTTTTATGTTCAATTAGTGCACTGTTTTCAATATTCAAAATATTGTAATATTTAACGTTTGTCGTATTTTGCAAAAAGACGATTTTTTCTCTAGGTCTTTGTTGGAAACACAACATGTTCCCCAAACCTCTGACTTTCTTCGATTAAACCAACTTTTGTCTCATTATTCAACACTAAATCGACTAGTTTCTTCCCTTTTTCATTATTGAACCGTGTTCCGAATTTCCGGTTTTAGCAGCAAGCATAATCAGAACAGTAAACAAGAGAGCAACGCTCAAATATATGGACACGTGGAACAGAGCAAAGCAGTCCTTACCTTTGACGTTACCGATACCGTACCCTCAAAAAACTTTCGAGTTTCCAGTCGCAAACATTTTCACAGTCAGCCGTCACGCTTGGTGAATTTAAGACCGTGTTTCTATAATTAAAAAGTAATACAGCGCAATTTTGGATGAAATATCAGATCTCATAAGATTCATAGAAAATTTAGGAATAAATAAAAATAATAGCTTTCTGGAAAAAATATCAATCGTTAACCACTGAAAATTTCAAAGCCATTGGTCCAGTATTCAAGGAGAAAAGCGATTTTATTATGACGAAGGAGAAGAACATCAATAAGAACAACAACATAATGTCAAAACGATCCATAAGTTTGCTGTTTGTTTTTGAATATAGATAACCTGCCTCTGATGTACAAGAAAAAACGGTGACAATTAACTTTTGTATCAGTTTGCATGAGCATTTCTGTCTTTTATATTTTCGTCATAACACTTTTATAAATTTCATGAGTAAGCAATAATGATTTTCAATAAAACAAAATGGTGTGCAACGATAGTGTGTAAACGATGTAAACCGCAATGTAACAAATTGTGTCATTACTCCAGGGCAGTTATGCCCAACCCAAATGCCTTCCGGAGTCGCAAATTACATTTCAGTTTAGCCGCGGGTCACACATTAAAAACATGTTATACCACATGAATTTCACTTTAATTTTGGGGAATAGGAAGGACAACGAATGGTTTCAACTCAAGCAATAATATGACCTGCATGGAGGTTTATTTTTCATCTATATCGAAACCTGATTTTGAATGTTATTTTCACACTTTTTATTGCCGAATTTTTAATGCTGTCCCACATAATTAGTCAGAGATATTTGACAATTTTTAGAAAAATGGAAGATTTAAACAAAAATGTTGTTTTTGATTTTTGTAAAAGGTTGGACTAAGAAAACCATTTTGCTGCTTTTTCAAACCGCTTTTCAGCGACTCTAGTTGACTTTAAGCCTGCCTGTGCCTTTTTCTCCGTAATTTCACTGCACGTAAGCTCGAAAAGTTTCGACTTGAGGGTCGATAAAAATAAAGTATTAAAGCGTTCATTTACTTGGGTAAAATACATTTCTTCAATTTTTTGTAACTGTCGAATTTGTCGTAGGCCTAGCAGAACCCTTGTTTCTGTTCCAACAAGCTAATAATATGCTTCGATTGCGTGATTTTGGTGTAAAAGTGCGTTGCAATAGTGTGAAACACAATATTTTTTTTATCCAAGATACGCTTAGATTTACTCTTAAATATTATTGTAAACGTATGGTTGAGGTTCGGCAGCAAATGTTCCCGTGGACTGAACATTGGACTACACCAGAGGTCGGGAACCTTTTTGGTCAAGAGAGCCATAAAAAGTACATATTTTTAATTGCATTTCCGTGCGAGCCATATTACATTTCTTAACTTAATCAGACCTGAAATTTTTACTCAAAAGTCAACACATATATGATGTCAATATACATTTAATGTAACTTCTGATACTGCATGTTGTCGCTGAGCGCTTTGAACGACTGCTCACATGTTGAAATCGACGGCTTTTCTTTATTGCTCCGCAATTCTATCGCTTCGTGATATCGCAAAGTATGTTCCAAAATCCCCTAGTTTTGTCACAATGCCTGTCTGGCACTTCTCTAACCGTAACATAGACAGGCGTTGATCGCGTGTTCTCAAAAGTATTGGCAAATGTTCTGCCAAATTTGATAATAACTTTATAGTTTGAGGTCTGGTAACAATAGTAAGTTTAGCCTTAAGATTTTTCTGGAAGCCATATACCGTCACCAAAAGAGCTATATATGGCTCGCGTGCCATGGGTTCCAGACCCCTGTTCTAATGAATGCAAATCAATTGCTGCAGGCTCATTAAATTGTGATGCCCTTGGTAAACCTACAGCAGAACGTGGTGAAGATATCGGATAATTTGTCATTCACAATATTTGCGTTTCCAAGCAATCTCTTCATGTTTTCTTCAGACGCATGACCGAATTGTTTATGGAGCTTTTGGATAGCAACTTTCTGATCACTATTTGTCATATCTTTGAGCACAAGTACACTTAATCACACACACATCATAAGTCTTGCACATCTTGTGTGGTACTATTGCTATGCAATAATGTCCACTTTCAGTAAATTGAAGATTGACTGGAATACCAAAGATTGTAACCACATCCTTTTCCATGTCAAGAACTGTTCCTGCTCGTTTAAGTGATGACTTACTTAGTAGCAAGGGTATATTGTATTCAACAATTTCTGTTCGAATTTGACAATTTATTCCAGCAACTCTAGCAGGAATTATTACACCTTGAGTCGACATGACTTTTCTTCCATCGCCAAATTTGAATCCTGTACCTCCTTGAGAAAACTTGACAGTCCTTCTCAGATTTCTAGGTAACCTGGCTATGTAGGTATTCAACCACTTCCGTCCACATACAGTTTTAGTACAAGCTGTGTCAATTATTGCGGATCCAACTGTTTCACAAATCACAGCTTCGCAATCGGAGCTTTTTGTCATAAAAACAAAATTAACAACTTCATCTTCTGTTTCTTTGTCACTGAAACTTCTAATTTCAGCTTCTGCCGTATTAACTTTGTTTGTGTTATGTGGGCATTTATTAGCCCAATGCATCTTTGAATCACATATGGCACACCTTGAAATCTGTCCAAATTCATTCAAGGCATTTAATGTATTGTTTTTACCTTGGTGCATTAGAGTAGATTTTCTTTGACGAAAATGTGTCAATTTTGAAACAAAGGCTTCTTCTTTAATGGAAGCAGGTACACTGTCATCCGTGACACTACCATCAGAAGATTTTGTGAAAACCCTTTTCAACGCTGATTTCATTCCTTCAAATTTCAGGTCACTAGCCACAGTTAAAGCTAATTATCTTTCTGATTAAGATAAATTTGCACTCTTTAATATTTTGAATGTTAATATAGCATCAGGTAATTTAATATCAAATTCCGACATTTTATGATACAGGTGTTCAAATTCTATAATATAGTCTTTCATATCCATGTTGAAAGATTTATTGAATGAGTTGAAAGCAGTATAAGCTGTGTAAGCATCATCTACTTTATCATATTTGAAAACCCTGTCCGAGCTTTCAAACAAGGTTGTCATACCATCATAGCTATGAAGTTCAGCTCTTTGATTTCCTTCAAGAGCACTTAGGACAACTACAATAGCTTGCTCGTTCTTATTAATAGGTGTGACCATTTGCCACATTTCAACTTTATTCCTCCATGCATTATAAGGTATATCATCCCTAAATTCAGGAGGGTTTTGTCTTGTTACTGATGAAGTCATCTCAAAGAGCAGTACCCATCTTCTGCTACCATGAAAAGTTTATTTGCACTCGAAGCAGATACACACATTTATATATACAGGTCCTTTATATCCAGGTCTGTTACAAACTATAATACACGATCACCAAAGCAGCACCCTCACACAACAATGTAAACAAGTAATAATTACTAAGTAACAACAAGTAATGTCACAATGATTACAAGTGTCTGGTAAAGTAATCAGACCAAAACATTCACACCTACGCTAGACTCGAAATATAAAATCAATGCGTAAAAAGCAACCCACTGGGGGTTCCAAAGATCAAGTTGATCACAACAAAGTTGCAATGCCTATTTTAAGGATACAAGTTTACGTCTAAAGATTTAAGCGAAGACAAAATTCTAACATATCACCGAATTGTGGAAGCAATGAAGTTTGCATACTATGAGAGAAACCATCTAGGCGATCCGGACTTTAGCATCAAAGTCGAAGAGGTATGTGACGTATACTAAATAACTCAAGTTATTCATTATTCAAGTAAACTAGGAAGGAAATTGCTAGTTTCATTGTATTATGTCAATGCTGTTAACACGGGCTAAAGAGTCCACATCGTAAAGAATATGCAACGTACCATAATTTATTGATTTTGTTACGAGCCTAATCTACGAGCCTTACGTGTCCCTAGTTAAATAGTTATACATATCCTATCTCAATGCGGTACTTTAACATAGCCTATGTCAGTATGTACTTTTTTACATTTTCCAATTGAGTAAATATTGTGTTACAAATATTAATCTGTATGTTACCGGTAATTCAGAATACGCACCAAACTACTTTCACTACGCCTTACTTACCTTCCGGTTTCGACCAAAGTTATCCCTCTTGACGTTTGTTGCCTTCATGGTAACCACTTGAAAAGGTGCACGAGGAACCGTCGTGCGGCTCATCATTTTGCAATAAATATTTGCGCTATATACTGGATACTAAATGTATTTACATCTTATATTTATATAAAGTGTGATTAATATGTGCTCTGCACAAAATGCATTCATTGCGCAGTGCTCATGATATAGGCCAGGGATGGCGAACCTTTTTCAATTAATGCAGGGGTCGGGAACCTTTTTGGTCAAGAGAGCCATAAAATATACATATTTTCAATTGCATTTCCGTGCGAGCCATATAACATTTCTTCAATTAATCAGACCTGAAATGTTTACTCGAAAGTCAACACATACAATGTCAATATACATTTAATGTGATTTCTGATGCTGCGTGTAGGCGCTGCGGGCCTTGAACGGTTGCTCACCTGCAGCGCAATGTGGAAATCTACGTACAGTGGTTCTCAAACTCTTGGTGTTGCGGAGCCCTTGAAAAGTTGAATATTATTCGCGGAGCCCCAAAATAAATGTTAAAATTGTTACTTTTAGATTAATATTCCTGAGCAAAGTAAAAGTACTTTACTTATTTTAAATGCTGAACCTTAGGGTTAACACAAGTCATAAATAAATCTAAAGTTTATACTAAAGCTGTAAATTTGACATTTGACAAACATATATATTAATAAATTAGGGGTCGAATCTTTTCCCTTTTGACATTTTTGGAAGATTTAAAAGGCCGCTAATAACGTGCGCGATTTCATTTTGTTACAATCACCGATTTTTTTCGTCAGCATGGCGTGTTTTAAACATCTTTACGCCGGTGTTTATTCTCCCTAAATCAAAAATTTCCCTCTGCATATACATGTATTGTTACACAATGACGACGTTAATTGCTTTTTTGTTCTCGTGGGGAATTATGAGTTCAATGTGA